GTAAATAATACACAACAAATCCCTGTGGACCCCAGACTCCCGTGCTGTGTCTTCCTCCCAGTGTCCATGCACCCGGTGCTTGCTGCCCCCTCATTTCCAGGCTCCTCCTTGGAAATAACTGTGGCAGACTTACACTTACTGATATGTTGAAACCACTGACAGGTATTCACATAATGATCCAGCATCAGCGAGAGCTCCACCACACTCCTAAGTAGCTCCTCCGACAAGGCTTGATCAGCTGCAGGTGTGTGTGATCATTTCCTCAGGTGTGGCCAGCCACCTGGCAGGGACACACCCACCAGGCCTGAAAGTGCCTGTAACCCAGCCTATCAGATACAGCCCCACACACATGCACACACCTGCCTATACACCCAAATGTGGAACACAGAACTGCAGCACAGTGCAGCTAAAAAACACACATATAATAACAATAATAATAATGAGAGTCCACACTGCTCAAGGACCCTGGGTCCCTCAGACCCAGTGAGTAAAAATAAGCTTTAAGAGCAGTTTTAAAAGATTCAGTGAGGGAGCAGCTCTGGCTGTGAGGGGAATCCTGTTCCATAGTTTGGGGGTGAAAACATCCCTCTGAGTGGAAGTAGTAAGAAGCCAGACCATGAAGGTGTTTGTAGATAAACAGGAGGATACTAAAGCTCATTCTGAATTCTCCATGAGGAGCCCAGCAACCAAACTGGAGACAGGACAGAGTGGACCGACTGGGCCAGCATAAAGGGAAGTGCAGTAGTCCAAACATGAGGAAATGAGGGGATGAATGAGAATGTTGTGATGAGTCACAGAAAGAAAAGGCGTCATTTTTAATCCAGAGCATGGATGGAAGAAGCACCGAGTTCATCTGCTTGTCAAACTTAAAGCAAGAGTCAAATATCACAGCAACATTTTGACAAAGGTGGACAAACTGCCAAGCAGATCAGGGAAACTGGAACTGGGAGAGCAAAAAAGGACAATGTGTGACCTCTGACCTTTCCGATGTGAGGGACAGGGATGTGTCCAACAATCTGTAGAAGAGTTAAAGTAGCTGTGACAGCAAAAGGGTCCAAAACAGAGCCTTTGACCATTTCCATTATTATAAACACTTACGAGTCTGTGTTTCTGAGCAGATAATGTCATCTTCCACAGGACTGCAGGTGTAACTCAGACCAGTGGAGAGGAGCGCGAGCTAGAAGGTTTTTTATCCTCTCAGTCACAAAGTGAAAAACGACGCTGCTTCTCCATCATTATCCCAGCAGCTGTGTCACTCTTTTGGCACTGTTGCATTCATGAAGCAGTGGATGAAGCTGTGCCTGCTGTGGGATGCAGGGTCTGTGCTGTTACTGTGGAAAAAAAGGAAATGCCTTCACTAACAGACGTGTTTCCAGCTTTGAGTGCTTTCTTAATGAAGCACTTTGCTAGATTTGAGCTGCTTTTTCAGGAGGAAATATTCAAACGATGTTCTTCCCTTCATAATTGTTTTATATAACAGGAATAAAATATCCACTAAATTGAAGTGAAGCATGAAATATATTTCTTTTTAATGTTATTGTAATTGGTTACAGCAACAGTAAAACCCACAGTGTACATCACTGTGGGGTACATCACTGTGGTGCACACTTCCAGTATATATAAGCAAATACTAGCTGTCTACCTTTATATTGGCCTTGGAATTTAAAAAAGCTGATAAGTGAAAAAGTAATGAAGAATTAAAGAAGAAGTTTTAATTTCCGTTATGAATGTTGGTGCTGCATAGTCTGGTTTGTACACCAGGGGGTGCTTTAGAGCTTCTCTATTTGCAACAGGTGCTTGGGACATTACAAACACAACAATCAGCTGATCCGAGCAGAATTTGTGTAAATAGTTATTTATGACTTGGTATTGATATCAGTCGGGCTCTCGTACAAATATGCATATTCACAAAATTCATTAATTTTATATCATTATAACGCAATAATAAATAAATGTATCAACGTTAGTAGGCCAGGAACAAATAAAATCGTCATATAAATCATTAGATTATGACAGATTAAAAAAGAAAAAAGTACATTTTGTTCTTAATCAGTGATCAAAGCAGTCACAGTTCGCTGACCGTCAGTGTATTAGTTAAACGCGCTTATACAGAGGGGAGGGGAATTTCCGAGCAGCGCCTGAACGCAGCATTTTTTCTGAGTCTGAGAACAAAAACATCGGAGCGGCTCGGTCACATGTAGCGCGCACAGCCGCAGCACGAGCGCGGAGCCGCGAGGAACGAGGAAGTCAGTCGAGCCGTCGGCGTCCAAGAACAAGCAGCAGCGGTGCGTCCGGCTCCCGTTCCCGGCTCCCTCCGCCACCTCACCCGCCACCTATGGTTCTCCTCCGGCACATCTCCATCGCCCTGACCGCCGCCGTGGCTGCCCTCGGCTCCGCGCTCTTCATCGCGCTGAACTACTTCTACAAGAGGCGGATATGGTCCCCGCAGGCGGAGTACTGCACCATCAAAGAGGTGGGAGGGCAGGTTACTCACTCAACCCTCTGAGTTTGGTAATTTTAGACGTTTAATCGATTTAATTTA